ATGTGACTTTGTATAAGCATAAGAGAGAATATATTTCATTGCAACCGGTGATAATCTAATATATAATATGGACACGGTTTTTTTGAGTCCATGTAATGAGTCACCTCTTAAAAACCTATTTTTCATATGGATTTTTGGACTTAATTTTTAAGACATCTAATCTCTATCATGGAGATCATGAGTATGAACAAATAAATAATTTTTAAAATTAGAAATAATAATTTTGGACCGTTAGTTTAAAGAGAAATTATCAGAAATATACCTTAAATTTTGTCTAAGAAAAAAATAAAAATAAAACCCTCAACTTTTATAAACCTCATCCACACCCTTTTTTTTCAATTTTGATATTTTTTTTACCAATAGATTTCACGATAGTCGTAATAACTACCGTATTATAATACTTTAAGTACCGTAATAACTAGGCTAAGTATTACGATACTTTAAGTACCGTAATGACCAGGCTAAGCATTACCGTACTTTAAATACTGTAATGCTCACTGCGTATACTGTAATACTTAGCATGGTCATTACGGTACTTAAAGTTTCGTAATTCTTAGCCTAATCATATCCACACATCTTGAGTAAGGTCTTCCAATGTCTGAACACTCTCCCCTAGAGAATTTTTGAGATGCACCTTAATTTAATAATATAAGTTTGTAACCTTACGTTAAACCAGCGTTTTAAAAATCGACGAGTCGAACCGACTGTAATGCTCACTGCGTATACTGTAATACTTAGCATGGTCATTACGGTACTTAAAGTATCATAATTCTTAGCCTAATCATATCCACACATCTTGAGTAAGGTCTTCCAATGTCTAAACACTCTCCCCTAGAGAATTTTTGAGATGCACCTTAATTTAATAATATAATAGGAGAGTCGAATCGGACGCGCCCGATTCGACTTGGGAACCGGCACAGCCCGTGCCGGTTCCGAAACAAAACCAGGAACCGCCCGATTCTAGAGGAGAACCGTCGGTTCAAATCCGGTTCTGTCCGGTTCAACCCGGTTCCTTCCGTGCACGCGTGCGACATGTGTGAAGTTACCCTAATATTTCTACACAAACATTTTAATCTATATTACATAGGTATTTATATACCAAAGTGGAATACCCATCTTTCGATGTGGGACAATTCTCAAACATCATTAAATGAAAAGGGAATTTAAATATATTCTATTAATCATCAAGTTATAACCATATATGGTGAGGTGACGTGGTGGTTAATACCTTTGCTTCTATTTGAAATTTTCATCTTTCTACTAACAATCTCTCTCACTAAGTTTATTATAGAAACCTAAAAAAATAAATTTTTGAAAACTTAAAGTCTTATTTCCAAAATTTGTACGTATTTTATTAATTTTTACATTGATAACCAAATCTTTTATTTTATTTATTAATTTTTACATTATAAATCATGTAATGTACTATTTTTCTTACAGTTGTCAATAATACATTTTAAATTAGATAATATTATAAAATATTTTTAATTTGTTATTATTTGTCAATAAAATAATTATAAAATGTAAACTAATAATTATAATGTCAGTAAATAATATTATAATT